CCTGTAGTCCCAGCTACTCGGGAGGCTGAGGCAGAAGGATCGCTTGAGCCCAGGAGTTTGAGGTTGCTGTGAGCTAGGCTGACGCCATGGCACTCATTCTAGCCCGGGCAAAAGAGTGAGACTCTGTCTCAAAAAAAAAAAAAAAGAGAGAAGTCAGGGAAAAACTAGGTAGAAATCTGAAAGAGAATGAGAAAGTGCCAAAGGCAAATATCCACTGCCTCATAATTACTGTTGGACTCTCCCAAGCACACCAGGCTTCTGTAGCCAGCCCCACACAGAACTACATCCTATATGCTGAGCAAAATGCCAGCACTCCACTTAAACTGAACCCCATGCATGACTGCAACACCACAGTTCCACACAACAGAGCAATAGCCATAAAAATAGAACAGATACTTTGTAAATTGCCTTGGCTAAACTTACTTTGGGAAAAGCACTTTTCAGCTGAAGCATGTGAACAAAAATGCCAAAATCCAACTTGTGAGCAGTGAGTTTATTATTCAAAATTAATGAATACCTGCTTTCTCAACAGCAAAACAGACATGTATGAATTTTATTTAAAATAAAAATTTAAAATAATCAATTAAGCCTCATACAGTTGATTTTAGAGCATGCTAAGAATCTTAAAAAGTTACTAAACTACTTTTGTTTTTAAATAATTTTAGATCTATCTTAACATAGGCATAGATTATGTCTGGGAGGATATATGAGGAAGTATAATAGTACTTGCTCCTGGAGACAAACTTAGGTACTCAGAAGAAAGAGGTGGAAGGGAGATATTTTAATCATTATCCTTTTGAAATTTTAGGATTTTGCATTATGTTAATATATTTCTTATGCAAAAATGATAAGTTAAATTTTTAAAATAAGGCAATCATGCATTACCTTAATGAAACAAAACCCATTTACTTTGTCAAGATGGCAAAGGATTCTGTGGAACCAGGACACGAAAAAGAAAAAAAAAAAGATGGCAAAGGAAATCTCTTGATACCCATATTCTGAAGATAAGTGAATTCAAATTCTGTCAAATCAGCATAAGAAAGAGAAGGCATATTGCTTAGAATGATCAAGTGTCTGAAGCAGCCCAGCAGTAAGGTCTTCCTTGTCACCCAGATCCCTGCTTAGTGTTTTCACAACGTACAAGCGAAGCGTGAACTTCCATGACACCTACCTCTTAGAGAGGCACTACAATAAAACTCTGGAATGATTAGAAAGTACCTGCTGCAGAAATATGTCAAATTGCTTAAAAATTCCTCTAAGTAACCAAACAGGTTTTTCACCTCTTAGAAGAAAAATTTATTTTAAGTTTTATTCTAGCAAATAAGCCATTACTCCCCAAAACCTCATTTCCTAATTAAACACTCCGGACAAGGCAAGGATCACAACAGAAACATAAAGACCAAGAAACATCACTAAAAACTGAATCAGTCTTAATAGAATAAGACTCTTTTAAGGGCTGCTTCCTGAAAACTGTCCTTATCAAATGCCATCTTATATACTTCCAGATGGGAGGGGAGAGAGAAAGGCCTGAACTGCAGCAGAGCACTTCCTAACCTCTGCTGAAGGCTGGGCAGAGTTCCAGGGAAAGCCTCCCGGGGTCTGTTAGATGTTATTAATGGTCTCTCCTTTTCTGTTTCAAAAACTGCCCCCAGGCACAAGCTGCAGAGACCCCAGCTTCCAAAAAGTAACAGGATGCCAACAACGAAGCAAACAGAATCTTTTACTGGGTACACCTGAGATGTCCATGGAGCCTGCAGACATCCCATGTTCCACCAAGCTTGACTGCAATACAGGTGAAAAGTGCACCCTCCTCCAGCCCGCCCCCCCGCCCCGCAATTAACCTCCCTCTCAACAATGTATCGTTTTATTTGCAAAAGAAAATATGTGATAAACTCCAGCCAATTCCTCCTAATATTTAAGTCAATTTTATTATTTCTCGCTTGTTAATAATCTCCATCTAAGCAGTTCACCACTTACTTGGCAACCACAACTCAAATTCCTGCAGACCAACCTGAGCTTAGATGAACAGGTCTCTTAGGTGATGTTTAAAATCTTGTTACTACCACTGCGATCATTAACTAAATGAAATGCCTTCAGAATGTAGGAAGAGTCTCAAGTCACAGGCTGTTTAAAGTGCCACTTGGAAAAACAATCTGCCATTGGACGCGTCCTCACTCCCCCGCCCCTCCAACCGCTTCTGCCGAGACGTCCTAAAAGCATTATGTCATCCACTAGCCCACATCTCCCCAGCCCCAATCCAGGGCTCCTCTCGAGGTGCCCTGCGCCCCCAGCCCTCCTTCCTCTCAGACTAGGAGAGGGAAGGGAAGTGGCCCTGAAACAGCCAAATGGGACGCGGTCTTGGCTCTTCCAAGTTCTCTTCCTAACAGTTAAGAGCACCTCCTGCCTCAGTTTCTCGCAAATAAAAAGAAACAAGTTCTCTCCCTAACTCTTCGCATCCTGGGAACGGCGAGAAGACAGGGGCTGTGCCTCCCCTCGGTGAATTCCGGACAGGCACGAGCGAGGCTCAGCCTCCCTCGCGGAGGACGGAGGAGACCCAAGCGAGGGGACCTGGGTTGGTAGGGGATCTCGCCGCAGGAGGGGGAGGGTGTCCCTTTCCGGGCTAGGGGGCTGCGGGGTCACCCCTGTGGCCGCGGGACCCGGGGCTCGCGTCGCCGCTGCGCCTGCCGTCGCTGGGGCCCGCCAGGGCAGGGAGCTGCAGCGAGCCCGGACTCACGGTCGGTGCAACGGCTCCTCAGCCACCGCCGGGCCGGGCGGCGGCGGGGGCGGCGGCGGGGGCGGCTGAGGCGGCGGCGGCTGTGCCTGCGGCGACGGCTGAGAAGGCTGACAAGGCTGAGGCGGCGGCGGCGGCGGCTGCTGCTGCTGTTGCTGGAAGGACTTGAGAGACTCGAAGGCCTTCATCAGCTTTTCCAGGGTCGCCATGGCGGCCTCCTGCCCCGCAAGGCAGCCTCCAGAGTCCTCGGGCCGGCTTGCGGCGCCGCTCAGCAGCGGGGCAATGAATGGGGCTCGCGGCCGTGGGCACAGGCGGAACCGAAGCGCCCGGCCATCTTGGACCCGGCCCGGCAGCCCCCGCGGCTCCCTGCGCCCCGCGACGCTGCGGCGGCGGAGGCGGGGCCACGCCGGGCCGGCGGAATTGACAGCCCGAGGCGGCGGCCTCTGCCAATGGCCGGCCGTGGCGCAGGCCCGCCCCCCGCACCCGCAGGTTTGTCCCACCGAGCCACTGGGGCCGCGGAGATCCCAGCGCCCCTCCCGGGTGAAGGCGCAGGGCTCGGGGGCAGGGGGCGGGGCGAGAGACGAGACCACGAAGGGGCGGGTGCGGAAGGGGCGGGGCAATACGGTTGAGGGCGGGGAAGGGGCCGGGCAGCGAGGGGCGGGGCCCGACGAAAGGCGGGGATAGGGAGGGGGTGAGCGCAGACTGGGAGAGAAACATGAGCGGGACTGGGAGGAGGTGAAGGGGAACAGGAAGGGGTACAGGAGTGGGGACAGGGAGAGGGTGAACGGGGACAGGAAGGGGTGCAGGAGCAGGGACAGGGAGGGGTACAGGAGCGGAGACAGGGAGGGGTGCAGAAGAAGGGGGAAGAGCGACGCGAAGAGCGACGGGGAAGGCCCACGACGCCGGGAGTCGCAGCAGAGCGGCAGAGGGCTTGGAGCTGGAGATCCTCGCGGGGCTTGTTTGTCCACCAGGCTGCCGGGGCCTTGGGGAGGGGCTCGCCCCGACAGCCCCGCGGGGAGCATGTTGGGGGGTTTGCGGGAGGAGAGGGGACGTGAGTGAACCCCTGCACAGAACACAGAGAATGCATGATTGGTGACGACCCCCAGCGAGCACGGAGGACCCTGCAGGGCGGCCCCGCTGGGAAGGAGGGAGGAAGGTTTGGGGCAGGCTCTGGTGGTCAGAGCCTGCCACCTTAGGCCGTGGCTACCACGAAAAGCAGCTTTGCTCAGAGACATCCCCCGCGGGAATGATTACCCCTCCTAAGGAGAGCACCATTCTCTGGCCTCTGTGAGGGGACCCCCACAGGGCACCGTTCAGCAACAGCTCAACAAAGGTCTGTGGGGGCCTCCTCATGGCCAGGGGGTGCAGGCTGGCACTGGGATGAGCAGCAGAGGGGTCAGGGATGGTGGGGACATCACCTGCCATCACGTCCAGCCCACAGGGAGTGGGGTGGGCCTCAGAGCTGCCCAGGGAGGTGATGCGTGTGGTGACAAACCTATTAAAGCCCACTCAGGGCAGGTCACACTTGCCACTCAGAGTCCCCTGTTCTGTGGTCACAAGCAATGTCTCCACTTTCTCTCAGAGCCTGTCCCTTTTGCCAAAGAGGTCAGGTAGAGGGAGGCCCAGCATTGTTCCCAAGGGGGTGGCAGCTGTCTCCCCTTCTCACAAGAAGGACAGCAGAGGGATAGCCTTTAGTTCCTATTCCTTGTTGTTAATAAAGGCCCTTGTCCACCGGGCTAGGCAAGTGCAGGATCTTACACAGGGCAGGTGTGATGGCGGGCTCGAGGCTGTCAATTGCTGTGGTCCACACACTTGTAAGATGGCCCCAGAAACCCCCTCCTCCTGGCATCTATGCCCTGATATGACTCCTCCCCTTGAGTGTGGGCTGCACCTGGTGGCTTGCATCTGACCAATATAATGCAGCAAATGTGATGGAATGTCACTCCATGATCAGGTCACAAAAGGGTGTGACTTCAGTCATGCTGGCACTCTCTATTGCCTTCTTGGCTTGCACACTTTGATAAAGCAAGCTGCCATGCTGGAGAGACCCAAGCTTGGGTGTAGACCCTTCCCTAGTCAGCTTTCGGGTGGGAGGTAGCTGGTATTTGATTGCACCCTAGTCAGAGGCACGGAGCAGAGGACCCAGTTAAGCTGTGCCCAGATTCCTGACCACGGAAACTGTGCAGTCATAATGTGGGTTAAGCCATCATGTGTTGTGGTGATTTGTAACACATCAACAGATAACTGTATTAGTTTGCTTGAGCTTCTGTAACTACCACAGACTGGGTGGCTTAAATAATAGAAATGGATCTCCTCATGGGCCTGGAGGCTAGAAGTCCCAGATTAAGTTGTTGGCAGGGTTGGTTTCTTCTGAGGCCTCTCTCCTTGGGTTGCAGTTGGCCATCTTCTCCCTGTGTCTGCACATGGTAGATCCTCTGTGTGGGTGTGTCCTAATCTCTTCTTCTTCTAAGGACACCAGTCATACTGGATTAAGGCCCACTCTAGTGACTTTGTTTTACCTTAATTACCTCTTTAAAGAAACTCTCTCCAAATATAGACACATTCTGAGGTCGTGGGGGTTAGAGCTCAACATATGAATTTTGAGGGGACACAATTCATCCCATAACAATAAGTGATAACAATAAGTAACATGGTTGCATCCTGACAGCCACTCTGACCTTCTTTTTTTTTCTTTGTTTTTTTTTTTGAGACAGGGTCTCACTCTGTTGCCCAGGCTAGAGTGCAGTGGCATCATCATAGCTCACTGCAGCCTTAAGCTTCTGGGTTCAAGCCTTTCTCCCTCCTCAGCCTCTCAGGTAGCTGGGACTACAGGCACACACCACCACACCCACCTAATTTTTCTGTTATTTGTAGAAACAGGGTCTCACTATGTTGCCCAGGCTGGTCTCAAACTCCTGGCCTCAAGCAATCCCCTGGCCTCAGCCTCCCAAAGTGTTGGGATTACAGGTGTGAACCATCGCACCCAGCCTGACATTCCTCTTTAATAATAAGACCTCAATTTTTGTTTTTGTTGTTTTCAGGAGGCTCACCAGTAGAAAGACCTCAGTTGTTATCTGAGCAATTTGCCACTTAGCTAGGAGACTACATTTCCCATCCTTCCTTTCAGTTAGCTATGGCCATATGACTAAATAAGTTATGACCAATGAGATACAAGCAGAAGTAATGAGTATTACTTCTAGAAAGTCTCCTTAAAACGAAGGGGCACCTTTTTCCTGATACTTGAAATGGGATGTGTTGGTTGGTGCATGAGCAGCTGTTTTGGGTCATGAGTATAAAAACCACATTCTGGGGTGAGGGAGCTAGAAGGAGAGGAGGCCCAGATGACTGGGTAGAGCTGTCATTTCAGCCTGGCCTGTCCATCTCTGGACTTCTATCATCTGTAAGAGAGAAATGTACTTTTATTTTGTCTGAATCATGGTGACTTTGGGTTATTCTGTTATATGGCCCTAAACTAAATTCTAACCAGACCAGGGAGGTTATGGGTCACCGGGACCATACATGGCCATAACAGATTATAACTGCTTCAGCCATGGCTAGAAGAAAGTCTATAATCCTGATAGGAAATCTAATAAGAAAGACTTGTAGAAAGGGAATATCAAGAAGCAAATATTTCACAGTTCACAGAAAAGTTTGGCATAGTCCCAAAAGAGTAATTAAAGATGAATATAGTGGGCAATTTGGAATGGTGTCTCTAAATCCTTAAAAATGGGTACAGTCCCTAAACAGGAAAGACACCTCCAGTAATTTATCCTCTGAAAACAATCAGGTATGTGTGATAAATAATCATTTATTACAGCAACATTTAGGACCAAAAAAATGGAAAAAATATAAATGCTGAGCAGAAGGAGATTAGTTAAATGCATCATGATATAGCCATACGTGGTCATTAGAGTCCTGTCCTAGACAAGCCTTTGTGACTCAGGAGAAGGTTTACACTGCATCAGCAGATTACACTATGTAGAGCATGATAACCCCCACTTCCCTTTTTTTAAGAAAAAGAAAACACACAAATACATAGAAAAAAGATTAGGGATCTAGTCACCAAGTTGTAACACTGACTCTCTCTAGGCAGGGAAATAAAGGGTGATTTATATCTTAATATTTGTGCTTTTCTGTATTTTTCAAATTTTCAGTAGTGAACGTGTACTGTTCAGGGGGAAATTTTTAAATGAAAGAATAGGTATGGGTGGTGAGCTAAAAATGAAACCCTAGCAACACACTTGTGACTGGTCCTCATGAGGAAGAGAGGGGAGATATTTAAATCCACTCAACTCTCTCGCCAAATGGGGTGCACACCAAGGCCAGGGGGAGTGTACTCGGGGTGGAATAAGCCTGGAAAAGAAGGATCCAGGAAGCAGACCCTGGAGGGAACAAGATGAGCGACCCAACAGCTCCTGAGAACAGAAAGGGCAGTTTGGTGGCACCCAGGCCTGCCCCTGAGGGGGCTGAGAGAGAAGCACGTGTGAAAGTGAAATGGACAGGAACCTTCTGGAGAAGGAATCCATGAACTAGCCAAGAGCACAGGGCCCAGCTGCAACAGAAACCTTCTTGTCTAGTGTGATGGCTGAGGCCAGAACGGGAGGAGGTAGGCGTGGTCTCTCCTCCACCTTTCCTGTTTCCTTAGGTTTTAGGTGTCTCCGGTTCTGGTTCAGAGCTTCCTGTGTGGACTGTACCTCCACACATGCCCAGCCTGACAATCTTTCTTTTTTCACTTCAATTATATTATCTGTAATTATTGATATATTTGAGTTTCTTCCATCTACTAGATGCTTTCTGTATTTCCCACCAGTCCTTTGTTGCCTTTTCACTCCTTTCTTGCCTATTTTTTGGTTGGTTTAAGTCTTATTTTATTTTTTAAACTCTGTTAGTTTGAAAGGTATACACTGTTTTCTTTCAGTGGTCATCCTGGAAATAGCAACATCCATCCTCCAGGTACCAGACTCTAACATTAATCAATACATGTGCTCTCTCCCTCATCATGCAGGGAATGCACAACACGTAAATGCTGTTCATGGTTCCTCCCAATGTAGAGGGTATTATAAATACACATGCACATATTCCAAAAGACATAGACACAATAATTGTGGAACAGTCAGCTTTTATTTAAATTGACGCCCATTTTACCATTTTTATTACTCTTCATTCTTTCCCAAATCTCTGATCTGCCATCTAGGGTCATTTTCTTCTG